GGTGATGATATAATTGTGGAATGAGAAAGTCTCATTGTTCGGGGTTTCTTCATATGTTTGGCCTAAGAACGCGACAATTATCGCCTGCTGCGAAAAAGACCAGACCTGTCTAGCCTAATCTTAAGATGTTTAACACGTACAAGCGTACGATTGTTGTATGTGTGAGTGTGTAAAGTGATGAAGACAGAGATCTTTTTTCTCAAAAATGTTTCTTTGTCATCACCGTATTCAGTTTTCCTTTCAATACCTATAATAAACCTATAATAAACATTAATAAACCTATAATAAATCTATACCTATAATAAACCTATAATAAACATTAATAAACCTTGCATTATAAACCAGCGGTTTAATTTTCCGTTTTTTCTTTTCCACGATAATGTGACGAAGACGTTCGACTAAAGTTTCGCTTGATCTCGCTTGAATCGATGCCAAAGATACCGAATTTCCTGGATCTCTTCCGTATTTCGACAGAAATATCCCGGATCTTACCAGCTCGTCGTCTCTCCCTTCTATTCTTTTCCACCGCCGAGCAAAAAAAGAAAAAAAAAAAAAACAAGGCGAATTTTCTATCAATCTACGTTTCCATAAATCCTCCTCGGCAGAGATTCTTTTGTTCTACCTATTGAATGTTTTTTACGGCTACAGAAACGAGGTCCATGGACGAGAAAATCGGTCCATTAGAACCGTTTCCCCTTTCATCATTTATCTCCCGCCCCCGAACCTCTGCTAACCCTCGAGCGCAAACAGGAAAAACTTAAAACGCCGAAAAGGAAAAATGAGCCTGCGGGAGGATCGAAGAAAGATCGTGCAAAAACCGATCGGAGGAGGAAGGCAGGAAGAAAACACGGATAAATGGAAAAGCAATGCTCGTAGATAGAGCTCGCAATTCCGGGATGGGAAAGCCTTTGAAATAAATGCGAACTGAAGATTAAATTGTTCCGTGTTCCACAATTTTTTCTTTTTTTTTTTTTTTTTCCCTCTTTAACCTGGAGATCATCGGAAATAATCAGAACGTTTAAAAGAGTAGTAGAGAGAGACCGAATCATTACGAAGAGAAATCGGTTGCCTGAAGAAAGTTGATAAATATGTTCGGTCCATCGGTCCATATCGGATTTACCAGATGGTGAAACGCAAAAGAAAAAAAAAAAAAAAAAAAGCGAAACGCCGCGCCTCGGATAAAATGGCGTGCAACGTTGCGGAGAGAGAATCCGAGCTGGTAGCAGCGCAACAGGAGATAAGCGCAGACTCGTTTCTCGCTACATAAACTCATCTACCACGGGCGCAATACCGTGAACCGGCCACATGCGAACGAAAATCCTACGCCGGAGACTCGCTCGAGCGCGTTCCTTCGTTACTGCTCGCGAAAAGTGTCGTATGACCATCAGGAATCGCTCGACCGAAAAAAAATCGTCACGCGGGAGACCGGTGCAGGCCGGTTAAATTATGGAATCATGTTCATCATTTTGGGAGGGGAAAGGGGAAATTTTTGTTTAAAAGAAAGAAACGTGGAGATATGAAAAAGTTGGGAAATGAATGCGAAAAAATGCGAAATGAAATGAAATGAAATTAGGAAATGAAGTTCACGACGCTGTTGTTCGTTCGAATTTGTGTGAATGAGAATTGCGGTGGATTCAATGATAAGAGAGATAAGGAAGAGAGACAATGCAGGAAGTGTATAATGTCGTATAAAATGTGTGTGCATTGTAGTATCGCGGTGATTTATGCGACTAAACTATGACTTCCGACTTTTCCACCACACCGAAACGGGGTTTCTTCCACTACCTGGCTTCTTGTAATGAAACTAATCTTACGGCCAAAGTGAATTTAACCCCGGCGATCAAGTTCCGATACTACAGCAACCGACAGTGAAAAGAGTTGGCAATTGCATGAAAATTGAGAATTTCACGAGAACAATGGAATCGAAGTTTCGTAAATTAACTTCTTAATCAGATCATCCGCCCGTACTTCCGCGGGAACTTCCACGATCGCGAAGTTAAAAGTTACCAAAGAGAAACCGATTTTAATTAAGTCGGTTTTATACCTCGCGTGGCTACTCTTAATCTATTTACCTTCTAACTAACAGCAAGACGTAAAACGTCGTCGTAAAAAAACGGAACGGTGGAGAATTTGCAACATGTCGAATGACGGATCAAGTCGTTTTCACCCCCGTTGCGGGGGTTGATCATTTTCAACGTAAAGAGGCTAATTGACATTTATACGTTTCACGCAACTTTTGAGAAACGTGGGTTGAAACGTGGATGATAATTAAGACCGGATTCTTTATTGCCTGGCTTTTCTTCTGGAATCGTAGAAAGGTCGGAATAATCAAAACCCATCCATTCATCACAAAGGTCGAAACAAAAGAGAGAAACCATTTACGGTATTGTTAATATCAACGATGCTATCGTATGAATCGTCCTTATTCATCTGACAATGAGACGAATCAATCATTCAGCAAGGAGTTAAAATTAAGATACTAAAGATTCTATATTCGTCGACGACGTGAAACGTAGAAAATATTGCATAAGAGAAAGTTTTAGCGTCGCAAATTCGTTAAAAGAAAATTTGCAGTATCCGTTTAACAAACTGACCCGAGTGAGACAAGAGGGATTAAGTTTTAATTCAAATATAAATACATAATCCAAAGGGAGAAAGAGAGAGGGAGAGAGAGGTTTTCGTGCAAATTGCAAGTTTTAAAATCGCGTCAACGGGATACTCTTGCAATTCGCAATTTTCGTACGACGGACGATCTTTCGCAAATCGATAAGCCAGGCTTCTGAATTACCGATAACTCCATCACGAACGGTTATCATTATTAATACTCGACTGAATAATTGAAAATTTACGATAAGAACTGCTTGCCACTAAGAGTTTACCCGCAGTTTGCCGCCCATACCAGAATACTTCGGGGCAACTTCCAACACCCTTCAACGAAATTCCCCAAGGAAATCCTCATGGTTATCCCGCTCGTACAGCACTTTCGTTCCGACGTGAAAGTTCAGTTTGGCCTCGGTCGGCGATCACCCCAACGAAAATTATTCGTTGATCCTCGAGCAACGAGTAAACGCGTACCCCTTGATAATTTCAACGGGCTGCGTTTTACGCCCTGATTAAATTCATCGAGCGTTATACTGATACCGGCGTTGTTGGCGTTCAACGCTGTAACAACGGGAGTAGCTGATATTATATTACGCGTAAATATGCAGCTGCACAGGCGTGCGCGGTGTTCGCATACGCTCTGCAGATATTTGCAAATTGCTCAGAGACGCGGGAAAATTGCGCGATCCTCCGCTGCTCGCGCAGGGAAGATAAAGAAGATAGACAGCGCGGATGATGCAACGCGTTTTCGTTTCAAAAATGCAGGGTACGCGTCAACTTGTCAGGGATTAATGCCCGTAAGTTGTCTTGCTTTAAGTAACAAGTCGCCAGCGACGCGCAATTACATTTGTCGAACATTTGTCCCGGGCATGCAAGGCGAGAGAGCTAATTCCATTCGAGCTGAACGCCAAAAGAACGGCGAATTTGCACGCGTAACTCGTATCATCAACGAGAGCCAATTAATAGGGGGAAGAGAGGGGAAGAGAAACGAGGATATCATTTGAAAAAAAAAAAAAAGCGTAATTTAGTGTGCGTAGCAATATTTTCTCAGTTTTGAGTATAAGTATCAACCCAGGCGAAACAAATAATAAATTTATTATTACTTCTCAATAATTTCTATCCGGTGATATTGTACCGAACGAGTTCGAAATGAACGAATTATTCCATACGGTTTTGGTCACTCGTTACGGTCCGCAATCAGTTGCCAGCGCAAGCGGTTGATCGTTCAATCGCGAAATCATTTAGAGTTTAAGGTCGTTTGTATTTGAAGAAAAAAAAAAGAAAGTATCGCAAGTGCAAAAGGATGGTGAGAAGGCTTAGCCAGGCGTGAGATCGCAACGAGCAACGAAAGTAGCAGCGACGGGAAGAACGAAAACCAATAACCATGCCGCGAGCGAATTGCAATTACATGACTAATTCAGCGACGGCAGTCAAACGGCAAACAAACTCGCGCGACGATTGGCCTATCAGGCAGTTTATTGGATACTTGTGGATTATACGAGGCGGGTTTTAAAGGTCCGACGCTTTCATTTGGAACAACGAATTTCGACACGTCGAAAATCCTGCGAGTTTACCGTACATCAGCGAGCGTGAAATGGCCGCTGTAAACAGACCTCGTTCCCAAATGTATTATCGTTTGCCAAAATTCGATTACCAAACGTCCTCGATACTGTTCGAAAGAGATCTAACGGGACTTTATTATTCTCTGCGATAATTGGCAACGAAACGAGACTAAACAGGAAAGTTACGTAATTTTTTTTTTTAGACACGCACAATCTGTCAAAATGCCATAAAATTTCAGTAGGGGAAAACAGGATAAATTACGGGTAGCATTATTTTTTTTTTTTTAAATAAGAATTTCGACGCGTGACCGAATTATATGGCATAATGTCGTGTGACAAGTTTCGGTATCGTGATGTCCCGAATTAAAAATTTCGGCTCGAAGAGTTTCAATGTTTTTGTGATTGTCTTTTTTTTTTTTTTAGTGTATTCGCATTCAATTTGTATTCTGACATTTGTATTTTATAGATTATTTCGACACTCTTTTCATCTTTCTATCTCATACTGAGGTATAAATGTTTAATGTTCAGTAAATTCATGCATTTGGGGCAATGAATGTTAAAGAGGGTGATGAATATTTTATTTGCGATTTTTGTTCCATTAATTAAGATAATTATATACGTTAACGTATTTATATGTCAAGATAAATATACAAATACTTTTTATAAATATAGTAAAAGTTTCTAAACTAGTAATTAATAAAGACCAAATAAAATAACTTTGCATTTGTCAAGAGTGTTAAAAATAATTACTTTTACTATATAAAAATAATAATTTTATAATTTAGTATGCGGTAGCGTTTCGAGATTACCAGAGAAGTAATTCCCAATTTCTTGCAGGTCTCTTTCTTCTCTACCAGCCCGGAACTATCCAACAAACAACGCTTCGAGTATTTCACGCGCACCATTCCGAGCGATCACTATCAAGTGAAAGCAATGGTGGACATCGTGCTGGACATAGGATGGAGTTACGTGTCCATCATATACGAGGAGAGCAACTACGGGATAAAGGTACGTCACTCTCCGCCAGAAACGGATCAACTCGGATTTTTTAACTAGCCCAAAATCACCGAGATCGAAATGGTCGATCTATCATTTTTGTTGGAAATTTCATAGATGTAAAATAACGTGCCAACGACACTCGATCCATGATTGCTTGCACAATACTTCGGATACAAACCCAAAATTTATGTCCATGACATGGCAATCCTATGGTGCGGAAGATCTCGTCGCACTTGAGACTGAAATTTATCGGACGTATAGTTTCGAATTTTTTTAAATGGTCTCTGTCTGCGAGCTTTATACACAGATATTTTAAAACAGAGGTGGTGGCTAACTGGCGGCCCGCTTACCTCTTTTTTCTAGCGCTATCCCCTCCATTGCATCGATCCCCTCCTACTACATTGAAATTTCTGCGCATGCGCTCCACTCTCTCTCTCTCTCTCTCTCTCTCTTTTTCACCCACTCTGTTTATTTCCCTACTAAGCAAGTGAAGAGATCTGAAGTTAAAGGAAGACAGGGAAAGTGGCGGGAAAGAATGAACAGAGTGGGAATTATTCAAATGATTTCCCGCAGAGTGTATAAAGCGTATTCTCCGTTGTACCACAATGTTTTTCTATTCTCTCACTTTCTTTGGACTTTAACGCCTCTAATGGAAATTCTATGCTTCAGCCGCCTTAAGTAGCACCAGCGTCAAGTCATTTTCACTCGAGCAAATGGATCACTTTCGTTTCAAATTACAGCGATAGTTCGTACGATTTCTACGAACGAGGTAATGGGGTAATTTTCGTTAGACGGTTAAATGATATCGTTCGTTTCGTTCTCACTTCACCGTAAAATATCCACACGTCGAACGAAATTGTCCATTTAGTTTTAACGCAGATTGTTTCGTTCATCGACCGATCCGCGAATTACGGCATGGAGATAATTATCGAATTTATGCGTAACTAAACCGGAGAAGAGTGAATTAACTGGGACGTGTCGCGGCGATGTGAACGCACGCGTGAAAAATGCGAATCTCGGTTCGCGCGATATTCGAAACCGACAGCTGATCGATTCCGGGCGGACAAGAGTTCCGAAACAATGCATTTAGCCGACAATGCGATCACTGCAAACTGCGACTATCCATCCCAGAAAATTCCCATTCAACCACCATGCACGACGGATTCTATCGTGCGCGTATGCCGTAATTTTTAAATAAACGAATCTCCAATATCCTATGGTAATTGCAACACAAACTGAGGCTTTTTTATTTATTTATTTTTTTTATTTTTTTATTTTCTCGTCGAATAAATTTCAGATATTTGTCGCTCTTAATCACCAGCCGAAAGTACGAACTTCACGCGGTTAAAAATAAAATTGTCACCGATCCTAACTTTTCGAATCATAAACTCTCGCTGCGTATTCCTTTTTTCTCTTTTTTTTCGTTAATTTCTCTCAATATTTGCTGCTTTCAATCACCAGCCGAAAGTACGAACTTCGCGCGGTTAAAAATAAAATTGTCACCGATCCTAACTTTTCGAACCATAAACTCTCGCTGCGTATTCCTTTTTTCTCTTTTTTTTTCGTTAATTTCTCTCAATATTTGTTGCTTTTAATCACCAGCCGAAAGTACGAACTTCGCGCGGTTAAAAATAAAATTGTCACCGATCCTAACTTTTCGAACCATAAACTCTCGCTGCGTATTCCTTTCTTCTCTTTTTTTTTTTTCGTTAATTTCTCTCAATATTTATTGCTCTTAATCATCAACCAAAAGTACGAATTTCACTCGGTTAAAAATAAAATTGTCACCGATCCCAACTTTTCGAACAACAAACTCTCGCTGCGTATTTCTATTTTCTATTTTTGTTTCGTTAATTTCTCTCAATATTTGTCGCTGTATTATCGAAAACTGAAAAAAAACGAGATTACATTTAAATAAAAAAAGAAAAAAAACAACGGGAAGATGTTTGAACAGACAAAAGTTAGACCGGTCGCGTTAATTCACGATTAAATCCAGGAAAACTATATTCTAATTTCTCAACTGGGGAACGTGACAACCACTCGACCACAATTCACGGAATATTTCGCGCCAGGCCACGAACTACAATGTATCTCATTTGCCTGGCATTCGCGTAATCAAATAACTCCGCGGGGAAGCATGCTGGTCGTCAGGGTTCTTCCTCTCTCGGTCGCCTGTTTAAACAGCCGTAACTTTCTAACATATTCGTTTTTTTTTTTTTTTTTTTTTCGATAAGTCTATCCTACCTTCCGGTGTCAGTTTCGCGACTTCCTATGCTTGTCGTCACCACCGCTAATCGAGAGTAATAAAAACCATGGGGAACGGCTGAATTATTCCTAACCGCGTGACAATAATTATATATTTTTTTTTTAATATTAATATTAACAGTGACGATGAAAAATTATCGTTACAATTTCGTAAAAAAAATCGTCGTGTAATTTGAAAGCCTGAAGTTGCCTCTAATTTGACAGTCGAGTTCGTTCTTTTCGAAGATGATTCTACGTCGCGTGCCAGGGGAAACTGCAAAAACACTAAAAAAATTTTTCTTTTTTTCAGTGACCAAGTCCATAATCTTGAAAATTGATTCTTCTTCTTATTGAACTTGGAAAATTGAGATTCGATGACGAAATGTTAGGGTTTCTTGAATTTCTTTTTGCCTAACTCCGATATTCAGCGTTCGATAAAATGATTGGGAGTGGGGGGGATCGTAAAAGGGAAGACTGTAGCCTTTAAAATGATGATTTCCACACACTTTTCGAGGTAAAGGTAATTTTTAAAACGAAAGGGAAAAAGCGATCTCGACTACTTTTAAAGTGTCACGGTCTTCGAAATGAGACCAATTAGATCGTCTTGTATGATTCTCTTTTACAAAGTTACCAGAATACCAGTTAATAATTATTGACAATTTTCTCCTCAAATTAATTAAATTAATTAATTGAATTCTCTTTTTTCCTTCCCTCGCGTGAGATAGCATAATTTGGAGATTAATTCGCGAAGAAAGGGGAGGAAACAAATGAACAATAACCGTATCGCTCGCGGAATCTTGAACAGTCCGTTCGTTGATAATACGATCGCGAAACGAAACGACACGCGCCGCGTGCAAAGTGAATCGACTCAACATCTCATTAGAGCGTCACGACAACGAAATTAACGGACGAGTGCAGTGTAAATTACTCGCGCGCGCATGCACGTAAATAAACGGTATTTCACGTTCTAGGTGTACATTAGCAGATGAATTCCGCGCGATACGCACGTTCCGATATCAACGTTAATGAACACAACAACGTTTAACATCGAATCCCACGGATAATTAATATCGCTGGCCTTTTTTTAACAGCGGTGGAGGAGGGGCGGAAAAAAAAGTGCGGCGCCGTCATTCAATGGGATAGCAAAAAGCGACGGGAGAACAACGGAGAGCAACACTTAGGAGGAGATGTACGCGCGCGAGAGATTAGACGCAACAAGAAATAATAACGGCGCTCCGGCCGCTAAGTAATCAGGGCAATTCAGGAAAAAGTGAGAGTAATAACGGTGATAAACACCGATTTCGAAATAAATCCGCCGCAATCTCTTCTCGGTGGGCAAGGAAGATCTCCTCCGCCTGACGAGAGAAAATGAAATACGTCCGGCACGTATATTTTGCAAGCGGAAGAAAGAACAGCAGGATGAAATTTCCTTGGAGGATAGAGTTGACTGGAAGTTACATTCGATACATAGGACGTGCCAACCCGCGTGATATTACGTCAAACATGTGATACCCGTAGCGTACAACGCGTCTACAACACGTATTCTCTAAAGTTTGAAGAAAGTCTATGGAAAATTTTATTAAGAAAAAGAGAGAAAAAGAAAAGGAAAGGAAAAGAGCTTATCTGCTCTCTTGATACAACCACGTAATTATCGAAATTGAAATCTTTCCATTTTCTACGTATCGAACTGAGTATCTGCTGTAATTATCTTCGAGACAATCTCTAACAACGCTGTTTTTTGAAAAACTTTTCAAGCGACATTATTTTTAAATTGCTTTTTAAAGTTGTTTCAGAAATAATCTGTCACTAAGTGTGTCACGTGAAAATGAAGTTAATTTGTTTCCGATTAAACGATTTATTTGTTATTTCGTGAAATAAATTTATTCACTATTCGCCAGGATTCTTATTTGTGGTTTGATTTCGATAGAAATAACTGCTTTCTCACGATGTTTATGTTCACCATTTCTGCGACTACGGCACAGTTGTGTCAAACACACAAGTTGAAGTGGATATCGCTCGATTTTTTAATGACGATAGGAGAAATTTAGATGTTAATAAAACAGGTATTTGTAAAATATAATACTCCGTTCCCGGCGTATTACTCGTCATCGACAGAGAGAGACTCTCAGAGATATTCTCATTTGCAACTTTTGTTCATTAACGGACCAAACGTTTGAGGAATGAGTCGTATTTATTAGAAACTAAGACAAATTTCTGCGGTAATAATACACACTAATAAATTATTTTGATCTTCATTGATCACTCGTTTTTTTTTTTTTTTTTTTCACTCAAGTATTTTAACTTCATTGATATTTACTTTGAATGTTATTTTAAACTCAAATTTCCAAACAAATATTACTCTCTCGAACAATGAGATTTCTTATTTGCCTGGCTTCGAATTTCATTCAATCAACCACATATCCTCCACTATTTACCAAAGAACATTCAGCTTCAATTTACCTACAAATTATCATTCGAAATAAATGTCTGCCTCGGCTGACTAAAACGATCTCGAAACAAATGAGACAAAAGTGCGCCAACCAGCTCTAGATCGAATCGGCGAATTCGAAACTATTGTACAAAACGCGGACTAATTGACAGAGGTAATGAACAGCGCGACTCGTTACGACCAGTCAGATCGATACAGCGTTCGAACGCGTTGGAGAAACCGGCGGAATGCCGAGCGAATTCTTGTTGGTGGCGAACCGCGGACCCAATGGACGAACGCGATTAAAGTGGTACCGAGCAGCCGGAGATTTCGTTGC